GTAACATACAACCGATTATACTTTAATTATTATCGTGTTGATTTGGTTCATAGTAATTTCCGGACAATCGTCTCTGCGTAATATTGAATCGAGCAAAAGAAACTGGCGGAGAAAACTAAACAATAACTAAGAATCCCGTGCCTACACGCTAACATGATTCAGAACGCGCAACGTTCAATCGGCGCGGTTATTTTTCGACAACCCCGTACCGATAAGACCCGGCAATAAAATCACATGTATTTTCGTTATTGTCGGGAAACATTTTCGTCACGGTTGATCGTGTTGATAACGGATTTCAGTAGACAACGGAATCGATAATTGAAATACAAACGGCCGATACCACCGGCGCTCGACCGCGTGCGCGTTGTCCGTGCGGTGTGCCACGTTCCGTCCGTGTCGTTGTCGCAGATTAGTATTTATGGAATTTGAGGAAATACCGCGCTGGTTTTATTTCATACGGTACGTTTTAAACGGGTATTTATTATTTTCTAGCGTACAGCCGCATTTCAAGGAATATTAGAAAATTTTCGGAATGTCTAGCGTACCGGTTTAACGGTTTACCGTTCAGTTGAATTTCCGTGACACCGCGTTGAAGCAGCGACGTACTCGTATACAGTTTTGGTGGTTCAGCGAACGACTAAATTACTGGGGACGAGTGGGTGTCGGATAGTTGAAATGCCGGCAAAACGCCGCGAACCGAGTTCGTGCGAAATGCTAACGATTCAATTGACGAACGGCCGTTCCGTTGTCCGTTGTTTCGTTTTTTTTTTTTTTTTTCCCCATGCATTGTGTATAATACTATCACGAAAACTTTCCCCCCCAACCCAAAAAAAAAAAAAAATCCTAAATCCGCCTAACCTTAGACCGTGTGCATTGTGTATTTGTGAGTACTTTTGAGTATTGTTTATCAGTTTATTAACCAGTGTTTTCCCCGGGTCGGACAGATTTACTGGTTTTAATACTTTAAAATCGGCCAACGGCATGACTATCGCGACAGTCGACTGAGAAGAAATTAATAAAATACGGGTTGGAGAGATTTTTTTTTTCCCGTGTATTATCCTCGAATATTTTACATACGGAATACCGAGCAAGTTCACAGTACACACTTTCAGGGAATAATTGTTGACGATTTAAAATTAAAACAGCCGATCAGTTTTTTTTTTTATTTCGAATAAACGATCTACAACGATAGTACAATATGGTTATAGGTTAAGCGTGGTCTAACATAAAAGTGTTTGTTTATGCAGCCACTCGTTAGTGACTCGTGATTGATTAGCATTGTTTAGTTAAGAATTAAAACTGTTGTATCACTTCCTTTTTACCATGCGGGGAGGGTTTCCTGCGAGTTTTAAGACGGAGTGATCTTTTATCAGGGGGACGGTATAGTTTTGGAGTCGTCTATGGAAGGCGATGTAGAAGATGCGTGCTTCTTCTACTTTAGTTTTCATATGAAAATCATTGCGAAGCGTTNGATTTGTGATAAATGAAATGAAATATTTTGAAACCCTTGAATCCTATTCGCATATGATATTTTTGCTAAGTTCGGATAGGTTCGAGTTGAGTTTTGTAAATCGAGAGTTTGGGGTTTACACTAGTACAGTTAAATCAAATCGGATAAAAGTAAAACGGATATGTTGCGAGTTGTTGTCAAACACCACGCCCACGCCCGCATCTTTAGGCCGCTATTGTTTTTTTAATTTTTTTTTTCTCATTTAAAATGATAAAAATCCATCACTGTTTCAAATTCACAATTCAATAGCTGAAAAATCGCCGACGTCCCGCGATTCCTTTCACTTCATTAATACCTGTACAATTTATCGTTCTACGGCCGGGTCGGAACGCGGTGGCGGCGCGCTCGCCTCCGACGCAAAAAAAAAATTACGACGTTTTTAATTTTCCTCGGTCACGGGTGTCTTGCTTTCGGCCGTGCCGTGTCGGTGGCGACGTCTCGCGGACCGTGTCGATCGAGACGCGAGTTCATCGCCGCCGCAATACCTGCGTAATAAAAACGAATCGCGGGGATTCCGATGAAAATATCGTCGGGCGTTGTGTGTAACAACATCTCGTCGAGCCTAACGAGTGCCGGTGAAACAGCGCCATTATTGTAACAGTACAATGGCATGGAAATGTATTGTGGACGGCGACGGCGGCGGCGGCGGCGGCGGCCATTGTACGCCAGCGCCGCGGACGAACGCATTCTATGCGGCGGCGACGACGGTGTTTCTCTCCCATGCCCGTACAACGAGGCAAAACACACTTACCGGCCACCGTCTACCGGACCGCGTATCGTTTGGTCGCGGACCCGGCCACACGCGCACAATGTCGGCCCGCACGACACTGCCGCCGTCCGGGTGGCGGGTTCGCCCAGAAAATTCGTGTCCGTCCACGTGAATCACCGGCGGGCCGGATGAAAACGGGCGGGTTATACGGTCGTGGCCGCCGTACGAGATCTCCTACCGAAACGCCGGTCGTTCGGAAAAACCGATTCGTCCCGTACGCATACCGTTGGTACACTTGTACACATAATATTATGTCCGGAGGCACCGAAAATATTATTTTGAAAATTACCTAGACATTTAATAAAGGTCACAGGCATTAAGAATAAGTGTGTCAACGCGCCGAACGGACGATCGTTTGGGAATTTGGATTTTATTTTTACATTTTTTTTGGAATTTAGCGTCGTAAACAGTCAAGTTGATAAAACTCGTCGAAAGAAACGAGTAGGCTTCGTGTGTTTCACGTCAATACTGTCCCCGCGGTTATTTGGTATTAATATAGTGGGCTACACACCGGCGGACTTGATCCTTCGAGAACCAAATCCGCTGGTAAATCCATTCACGTCTGATGATCAAGGAATGGGATCCTATGGTACGAAAAATGCGACGGAATAAGTCCTATGGATAAAATCCCCTGTCGACCATTAATTGACAAGGACCGGATCCCAGTGAGCTTACAAAAAAAAATGTGTAGTATGATGATGAATTCTCACGTTATCATTTATTATTATCAAATATTCAAACGTTTTAATTTTGGTCGAAATTGTCTTGTTACTGCTGTTCTTTTTTTATCCCCATGTAATTTATTTTTTTAAAAAAAAATTATAATTGAAAAATGACGTAAAATGATACCTACTAAAAACTGTTAACTGTATTATATTTTATGAATAGTTTTTTTTATAGACGGGTAAAACAAATAAACAATGCAATGGAGGAAGGCCGAAGGACTCCTATCTAATTAGTGGATTCACAAACCATATTTTATTAGAACGAAAATTTCGTAATTTCGTATCAATTCAGTAGTACTCGTGTATCACCACCAGGTTGCGGTTACAATCACGGTTGTACCGAACCGAAACATTTGAGTCATTCTTCCACCCCCCCACACCAGTCGGTCGTTACCAGTTTTGTATATCTTGGTTCGTTGCTGTAACGAACCGGGCAATAAGAATTACGGTTTATATCACATAAAATAATAAACTCTTCTTATCACTATCTGCTTATCGGGAATAAACGACACAGTAAAGTTACCTTACTTACTGTGCTTGCATACTAGAAATAGCTGACTGTTTTAAAATACATACTTGGGTTTTAATGGTTTAATGTAGCCATGATAATTTCATATATGTATTTCAACATTTCCTCAAATCGATAGTAGTCGCCAATCGCAGCGTTGGTTAAGTACTCCTAACAACTGTTACTGCTAAAAATCATTGTTAAGCGTCAGCGTACTTAGTATAGACCAATTAACCATTATAAAATCGTATTTGTCAATTGGTCTATGGGCGTTAGCAACCGTGTAAACGTAGTAATATTTTCTAGTAAAGGCGGGTTCACACTACACCGTGTCGTGCGGTGTGACGCTTTTAGGGAGCGCGTTGAGCAATCGAAAACAAGCGGGACAGTATTTTATAAACTGAACCGTATTTAAGCCGAAAATATTACAACCGACTGCAATGAAGAGATAAGGCCGTCAGATCTTCCGAAAAACGATAACGCGTGATGAGAAATAAACAAAAAGGAAAGACATTCCGTACGTATTATTTGCTTCGAGTGACCCGCTTCTATGTTTTTTTTTAATTTTTAATCAATGAAGTTAATTGGAAAATATATTGGTTTAGTTTTGATAATAAATCCAATATGTATAAGTGGATGTTTATCTACACTTGAATAATTTAAATGCTTACAAATGGTTGAAATTAAAAAAAAATAACAATTTTAAATTCAATTAAACAATATATATATTTATATCATGGAAAATAATAAAAATGTAATTTTATTATTTTTTGTTTATTCTAAATTGTGTCGGAATCACAACTCACAATTTT